GTGTGCCTTGGCAGTCTTTGGTTGTCTTGCTGACATGACTAAATGAAATCAAAGGTTTATTTTGTAACATAAATAAATTCAGTTTTTTCAAGCAGAACACTTCCATTTAAAAATGAACATATATCAGAGCCTGAGTTTTATCAGAAACATAACGGATTCTGTGATTAATTTCTGATAACAATTAATTGTTGCATTGTTTGTCCTTTTGCTCAACTGTGAGCGAACGCACATCTATAGAGATCTGCTTGGAGAGTAGCTTTCAGTCTCATCCAGTCCACTGGGGAGAATAATAATGAATCTGATAATTGAGGTATTGATAGTTGGAGAGTGAGTGGCGACATTGATAAGTGTGTGACTGAAGGTCTTGAGTCCGATGGTGAGGATGGTTGTCAGACAGACAATCGATTCACATCGACCCGCTGCTCTACACCTCATACGCCACATTTATTCTCGTCTTGAATATCCTTCTCTTCTCTTTTTGTCTCTGCTCTCTATTTTCCTTCCTTCAGTTTTTTCCTGCTGGTGTAGCAGACTTTGGCTTGTATCTTGTATTTGTGAATCAACACAAAAGAGCTGCATTTAGAAGATTGAACAGCTGAGTGTAACAGAGCAGAGAAGAACAGAGCGAAAAACAGAACACCACATGATGCAACACAAGGTTATGTAAGAATCCTTATCTAATACTACAACACATACACACACCCTGGGTATTGTCTCATAAAATACGTAACAGAGTGCAGCACAAGGACAATACAATAGAGAAAAAGGGAGCAAAAGGGGAGAGGAGATGCCAGGGTGCACTGGCCCAGAATCAGACATCTCTCCTGGCCAGCTCACAGGACATTACTGCCGACTGAACTCCGAGTGTGTGTTCTCTCAATCTCCCATATGTGCATATGAGCGAATATAAAATTGCACATAAACGTTGAGTGAACAGCTGAGATTGTCCTGCTGCATGTTTGGGGATGAAATGTCAAGTGAGAATGGAAATTTAAAAAAGCTCTTAATCAACACAGGCCATAGAAGTTTGTCATATTTTACAACCAAAGCTTCTAATAAAGTTTGTGAATGAAGCTTTGAATGTCTGTCGTCATATTATGATGTTGTCATCACTCCATGTAAATAAAACACAAAATCTTCTATTTGAATGTGACATTTTATTTATTTTTTGTTTTTTAAAGGCTAAACTCCAACAATGTCTGATGTCTGATTTGTTAGATAAAAACATTATTTGCATTTTGGAAATGATTTCTTCTATCTCTTTTCAATAAATAGTATATACTGTATACATTTGGAATTTCAGAACTCTTTGGAGTTTTTGGAAATGCTGCAACCACTGGAATCTAGACCTATAAATAGGATGATAATATTCGTTTAGCCTAATCTTCATCTGCAATTGTGAAGAAATTCAGGGTTCAAACTGAATAACCAGACATGCAAAATTGAATGCATTTAAATGTTAAATGATGTCAACGAAATAAGCTTTGAAGCTTCAAAATATTTGTCGCAGCTCTATAGAAAAGACATTTGCTTACTCATCTTGATTTATTATTTTCGTCCCTCTGCAATTATTAACAAAATGATTAGCCATACAGCTCTAGGAATGGGCAATCAAACATTAGGGTCCATACGGAAATAATTCAACATATTATTATAAATATATAAACTCTTGTCATGTATTGTCATACCATTTTTGCCAGATATTCATGGTCCCAAGAGAATCACTCTTACTGACTTTGTTGACCCCTTGACTTTAGCTTTAGTGCCACCAGTGATCATAGTGTCAATGTACAAACTGTATAGCTCCATATCCACTAATCCACGGATAGGCACTACATTTATAACAGATTTATCGCACCCCAATGATGAACGTTTTTTGCCATTTTTGTTTGAGTTCAATGTATCAACACCTACTGAATAGAGTGCCATTAAATTGGCACGCACATTAAGGAACCCCTCAGGATCAAGTTTAACAACTTCCTGCAAGGCAAAATCCACCAGCTTATCAGCACTCTGTGATTTAATTGAATGTTAGCATGCCAAGACTCTTAACCACTGAAGTATGTGAAGAAATGGACGCAGCGTTTCAGGCAGAGATCCATTTATTCCTATTCAAGTTGCTCCGCGATGCATGAAGCCAAGAAGGTTTTACTGCCGAGTATCTTCTTCATCCATATGGGGCCAGGGAAATAAGTTCTCTGAATCAGAGCTATTTTAGTGTTCATAGTGCCAAGTTAATACATCTATAAAAACATGTGCTGCTGGCATCGTAACAAGCATCTCTTTCTGACATTAAGCATATAGTCCTAAATAATGTAATTGACACTAAAGTTGAAATTCTAATGTTTTCCCACCCTTTAATGCACCTCAATGCTTGCGGGTACACATTGAACCCACTAAACAAGTGTGGGAGAATTGTCATTGTAAGAATATTAGTACGATAACATTTGGCTAAAAACACGTTAAAATCCAATAAGAAGTGGATCTACATGGTAACAGTACGGGCTGGAATCCAATCCACCTATACCCTGTACTTAAGAAGTATGCTCTGTGTTTTGTTTTCTAACGTTACACCGCCTTCACTTCCCTCAACTTTTCCTCCCTTTTACTTCCCTTCCTCTCCTGTGTTGTGCTCTCCACCTCTTTCCTCTCTTTCACTCGCCTCCTCTGTCTTTTCCCTCCTCTTCATCATGTATTTCCCCCCCCCCGGGGTACAGATCAATGCTCCTCTCCCCTATAGTTCCACTTCCCCTTTAATCTAACTCTCCTGCCTCATCCTTCTCCTCTTTTTCAGAACTCCCTTTCATCCTCCCCTGTATCTTCAACGTGACAGGCGTTCCCAGTAGGTGCGTGTAGGGTCAGTGAGGGCGCAGTCAAGCTTATCACACATTACTGGCAACATTACTCATGACACATGATCTGCTCTTGCCATGTGTTCAGCATGCATGTATTAGTGTGGCTCTTCACATGTGTGTGTTTTCCTCCAGAAATCGCACACAAAGCTCTTTTGTCTTTTGAAAGTGTGTGTACATCGGGCTCTGGTGTGCATGCAAATGTTTCACCTCAGCAGATCGAAAGCTAGATTAGCTCCCACTGTCTTGCACCTGCCTGTTGCTATGGAGACTGGGTATCCTCTGCGTCACCTGTGCCCATGTTTGGTCTGGCTTCCTGCTCCTTTCTATCAGCTTCCCTCTTTCTTGTCCTAATGTAGTTCAAACCCGGCCGGCACACTAAAACAGACACACACTGAGACACACACACACGTACAGAGAGAAACCAGAGCTCTTAGCTCTTCTGTTAACCCAATGAATTAATAATAGCATGCACATTATATTCAATTCATGCTGTACACACACCTGAACGCTATCATACACACCTTATTAACACAGACATGCATTGGAAACACATGCATCCTAAGAAATGAAGCTAGTTATGTTACTATCTCTTGTTTGAAACAGAATTAGCTTAACTTTGATTAGCGTTTTTTTAAAGGTTCAAGCAGATGTGTTGCTCTTAATGAATCAGCAATTGGGAATAGTTTGGCTCACACCAAAGCAGTGATTACTCGTCATCAAAGGGAGTGTGAATAGAGACACATATGGGCAGCAGAAGTGTGTCATGTGACCTGCTGCACTCCCTGACTGGCATTATACAACTCTGAAAGTAAGGAGTTTTTTTTATTTTTTATTCCACAGTTCATTTTGGTCATGTTATAATTAATATGGCCGCTAAAGAGCTTTGTCATTTGTACATTGTTGTTTTGGATTGCTGTTCTTTTTTGGATGAATTCCTCCATCAGTCACTTTTCTCACAATTTGCTGTAAATAAAAGCAGCATCTTTGATGGAAACCAGCAACCGCAACCTGCAGACAAAAATGTACCAATTTATCAAGCAAAGTGGCGTTAACCCTTCCAATTTAAATGTATTGGTCAATAGGCACTGTTGTGCGACCAACAAAAACAAAGAATGGGCCATGCGAATACATTTCATTAGTTTCCTAATCTACGAAGGAGTGGTAGCCAACATCAGTAAAATAAGCCAGATGGGTAAGGTGTCAGCGTAAAGGGCCCTATTATGCTCATTTGCAGGTTCATAATTGTATGTTGTGCCTCTACTGTGACATGTTTCCATGCTTTAATGTTTACAAATCTGCAGCACCTTTTTTTACCCTCTGTCTGAAACCAGAACCCAGTCTGATCTAATTGGTTAGCTAACCGGCTCTTTTGTGATTGGTCAACCGTTTAGAGATGTCCCGCCCCTTAGCCTATTATGGCGCATTCACACTACAGTGCGGAGCTCGCTTTAAGCGTGCCAAGCCGTGCGGGGCCTGTGATTGGTTGCGCTTACACTTGGCCTAGTTCCGGCCCGGGGCTACTTTTTCACCTTTTTTCTGGCCCGACTAAATCGTGGTTCTATCGAGGCCAACAAACAGGGCCAGAAAAAAGGTGAAAAAGTAGCCCCGGGCCGGAACTAGGCCAAGTGTAAGCGCAACCAATNAGAAAAGAACGGCTGACTGCGGAAAAGAACGCCTAAGTTGTACAAACTATAGCCGCAGCCCTTGTGGTGGCCTTCAGCCGTGTTCACTATTATGTGACTAACCGACAAGTGATCGCTTAGTCACGGTGCTCTTCAGTAATTGCCCTCACTCCCTCCATTTGTTTACTAAAATTTTACCTTTCCACCTTGTGTGTGACGGCGCACACCACTCCGAATAGGGCGTGCCCACGCTCATGTTCGGCCCGACTCCCATTTACTGCCGATTTCGGGCCGGTGTATCTGGGCCTTAACTTTGACAACTTGACAGTCTTGATACAGTGTAAAGCATTTTAATGATGTACTACGTGTTTTGGATAACATGAATGATGTCCAATTCGATTGTGGGGCTGAAATTGTCCCTACGGACCTTGATCAGCCACTGAGCCTTTACCTCAGCATCAATAGGAAATGAATGGAAACTTATCTCCCGATTATAATGGGACGAATTTGTACAAAGGGGCACACAGCAATGTAGTGCCGACTTTCTTACCCACTGGAAGGCCAATCGCTTTTCTTTACCGCTCTTCATCTATGCTATCTATCGCTAACTATATCGCTATCTGTATGCTATCTATCTTGCTATCTATCTATCTGTCTTCTATCTATCTCTCTATATATCTATCTGTCTCTCTATCTATCTATATCTCTATCTCTCTATCTATCTATCTATATATCTATCTATCTCTCTATCAATCTATGCTATCTATCGCTAACTATATCGCTATCTGTATGCTATCTATCTTGCTATCTATCTATCTATCTCTCTCTCTCTCTCTCTATCTCTCTGTCTCTCTCTCTTTATCTATCTATCTCTCTCTCTATCTATCGTATGTATATCGCTATCTACCCGCTCAACCACTCGTAGACCGGAAGTTTACAACCGCACACACAATGAACCGGAAGTTGATAGACGCCATCTTGTGCAACTAGCCTATTCAAGAGTTTTGAATTATATGGAAAATTACTTTTAAAATTCAAAAGAAAAAAGAAAAATCGATGGAGGTAAAGGTAATTTGTTGATATGTTTTATTTTTTCAAAATAGTTGAGATAAAGTCATGCTGATGAAATACTGATGAAGAACTGTGTGATGAATTAAATCCAAACATACTGTACTCTATTAATAGTTTACTGTAGTGTGTGTGTGTGTGTGTGTGTGTGTGTGTGTGTGTGTGTGTGTGTGTGTGTGTGTGTGTGTGTGTGTGTGTGTGTGTGTGTGTGATGTGCATGCGTGCGTGCTTGCTTGTGTGTGTGCGTGTGTGAGCCAAAACGTGTCTTTAGGATTCATCTCATCTCACAGCGCCTGCTGAGCAGCTAGCATGAAAACATAAACACAGCTGGGATAGACTGCTAAATACACACAAACACACACTTGTAGATATGTGCACTCCTGCGTTCACACATACACTATATGAATTATTAAAGAATACATATTAATGAGTGTTTGCACAAACACACATGTTCGTCATAAACCCACACATATACAAACACAGCATAAATGGCCATCAATAAATAATTACCCTCTTCATTAGATGCTGCAGGTCAGCACTTTGTGAGTGTGCTGCAGAGACCAGCTACGGGATCAAGCCATTGGCTTTTTGACCCAGTTACGCACATATAGAGTGGTGCAGTAATTATGTATGTTTGTAGGCTGAGCCAGGAGTAAGCATCACAAGAGCTCCCTCAACTAGAAGCCAACAGGACTTTTCCATTGGATTTTGGAATATTGCAGAAAATAAGCTCTGTGGCAAACACACTTTTAGGATCAGCAGGTTCTTCTCCACATATTAACATCACTTTGGGATTTCTGAAGTGTAAATGCAATTGCTAAAAGTTAAAAGCTAATGTTAGACTATAAACAAACTACATCACAGTCCCATGAATTCACATCACCAGCGCTAAGCTGAAGGTGGCTAATGTTCAACGTGATGAATAGTCATAGTCTCAATTTGTCACTTTGTTAGCAACCGCTGATTTTATGATAAAAGAAGCTTTTGACATTCAAACATGGGATATTGACGTGTGTTATAATGTTTAACAAATGTTTCCAGTTCTTTGTAAAGGCATCCAACCCAAAACAACGTTGACTTTGAGCCGAGGGAACCACAACTGTTAAAATGCCTTTTTAGGACTCATTCCTGCACCTATGGAAGGCAAGCATTGTAATATCAGCACATTCTGCTCCCTCTGAGCAGGTGGACTCATGAATGATATCTGACACAGAGTTTAAGCTTTGGTGAATTGTTGCACCACTTAACCAAGTCTAACTCAAGCCTTTCTTGACATGTAAGAGCTGTTCATTTCAAAAAGTGACACTCTTATACTGAAGTTCTTATACTGAAGTATCACAGTTCATGTTTCTGCTCAGCGTCAACTCGGAAATCTCTTTCAGACTACTGCGAAGGTTACCTCAGGTCCAACTCATACAGATTTAAGGCTAAGCAGCCACAAGCTCCTGAATACTGCCAAATCTATAACAAACTGACACTCTCATGAGCCTAAAGCAGCCATTAATCCACTTTGTCAAGAGCTAGAGTTAACAAAGAACACCACTGTGTAGTATATTTAATTCACAGGCACCGTTCATACTGTGTCGAGAATCCACTATAAATTAGGGAGATTTCACAGCATGGAGAAAACCTTGTGATGGAGCCTGGAGTGGAGAATATCACAAGACGAAAACATATGGGGAGGTGTTTCAGCGGAAGTCATTAAAACGCCTTAAGGTGTGTAATTTTTTGCTGTGTCATGCAGCAAAATGTCTCAAGAGGTAGGAGGTTAAACTGCACCTCATCAAAAACGGTTTCCCTCAATGGGCTGTAATCTAGACAGCATCTGAAAGAAATTCACGCCGTCACTGCATGTATTTATCACCGCACTGCCAGAGAGATTCATCTTTACAAGTCAGTTAGTCTCCCACTGAGTCATAAAAAACTTGAGTTTTTGAAACACGGGAAAAATTATTCCCTTGCCCTGAGATTACACCATCTGGTTTCAAGGTTATTTCAGCTGTTCCTAAAGAAACAATGTCAATATCTGGTCAAATAAAGCACTTCAAGATATATGTTGACTTTTGGGACAGAGGTTAATTACCTCATGTTTTCTGGGCTTATACGGTTCCATTTTAGCAGGGGAAGAATTTACTGGATATTGGCTCATAATCCAATGACTGTCTTGAGCTCTATTACACCACTAGTGCATATGGTAATTACAATAACACTAAAGATTCTGGATACGAACCACTGGTGAGATCATCAGTCGGGAACTATAGACATAGAAGCAAATTAGTTTCTTGGATAATTTAAAGCTGCACCAGAAAAGCAGATGGCTAAAGTTAGCAACTTGATGAAGGTTATTTATTTATTTTATATTTACTTTTTAATTAGCAGCTTAAGCGAGTGTTCTCAACACGTTAGTGGAGGACAAACATAGTAGAAAATGGACCTAAATTCAATAAAGACTCAACTTTAAATTAAGGCAAATGTTACTTAGTTTGCCATAATAGTTTATAATATGTCAGTACCGCATTTTCACAGTTTGTTACTCAGGCCAAAACCAACGTCTTTGGAACAATACAGATGTATGTAACAGCCAGGTTTTCAACCTCTTATCTATGTTTTATGTAAAAGCAATTTACTGTAGTGATTCAGAGATTTAGCAAGCAAATGCAGTGTTAGTAGTACCCATTTGCAACGCCTGATTTTGCTACATTTAACCATAGTATACTAATATTCTGACACATTTGAGCTGCTGAATGTATGACCTGGCAGTCTTTGGATTGAGAACAGACACAACAGAATCTTAGATTTATGACTAGACTTAATATTACATTTCTACATTCACAGGCTTGTACCTTCCAAAGGTTTTCACAGAGACCAGCCTTTTACCAACACAGTCACTGGTCTTTTGCACAGGTGATTCAGCCAGGACAGTTTCATACACATCAGAGCCAACTGGAAATCCTCCAACTGCAAGTCACAACACATCGTCTCAGCTGAAAATGAACGGGCACTTTTACCTCCGGTATCCTGAATGCGTGAAATAGCTTCTCCAAACAGGCCACTCCGTAAAATACCCAGAATTCTCCAAATGACCAAATGTATACTATCTAGGGTACAAGAGTATCTCTAAGCCATTGTGAGGGTATTATGAACCAGAAAACTATACTATGCATATTAAGGAGTATTAATGTGCATGATGCAAGCAGAGCCATTAGAGGCTGGATATTCCCCACTCAGAGGGCCCAAAGCATGATGCAATGTGGGTGATCCATCCACTGAGGCACAAGCTAACGGTAATGAGACTGGAGATACACTGGGGAGATAGAGAGAGAATGAAGCAGTGGACGGATACAAAACACACACACAAACACACTCACACACACATTCAGACACAGCAGCAGCAACCAGTCGGCTGGAAGACTGAATACAAAATGCCTTAGAAATAGACTATAATCCTGGCCAGCAGTGATCAACACTGATAAATATTAATAAACACTATTATGCACAGAGAAAAATAGAGACAGATGAGAGAAAAGATAGAGAGGGAGAGAAAAAAAGGGAGAGAGAGGTGGGGGGGGGCAATAACAAAAGAGTCTTCCTTCTATGTGTTATTGCAGCCAATTTTCCATCTGATGTCCACCTTGTGGTTCTATAGACAATGCAACAACAACACACACTCTCTTCTTATTATCAGCCCATTTCCTCTGTTTGTTTCCTCTGTTGTTTTTCCCCCCACCTTTGGAAGTTGGGATAAGAGATGGGAACAAACACGCAAATGAGCACTCTGTGAATGTATACAGAGCAGGAGAGCTGAAGAAAGAGGGAGATAAACACACGTGTACACACACAGAACAGCATCTCCTTCTCTCTGTCTGAATCAGTCTCATTAGTCATTCTCAGGCTGGAGCGTTGCTGCTCCGCCTGCTTAAAGAGCTGTAGAGCTGGACGGCAGCCCACAGCCGGCGAAGGTCACCCACCATTCACTTTCACTCCTAAAAGACCAACATCTTCCTGATAATGAGGAGACGTGAAGACGTACAGGAGAAAGACCTGCCTTTTGAGCCACACCTGTCATGGCGTGCAGCAGTAGGAGAAAAGTCTTATTGGAATTCAATAGCACTTGGGACGACTCAGAAACCTGTTGATA